TGTGTGTGTGTGTGTGTGTGTGTGTGTGTGTGTGTGTGTGTGTGTGTTTTGTGCAGTGGTGGGATTAAATTATTTTTACTAGTGGTTCTGTGGGAGTGGCTTGGTGGGCATGGTGTTGCTTGGTGGCATAGCAGGGGAAGGATATTGCAAAATCCCATTCCCTCCCCACCCCACTAACCTGCTTTCCAGCTCCGTTCTCTTGTGCAGGGCAACCACAGAAGACCCAGCCAATCAGCTGGGACTCGGGAGGCAGAGAGTAGATGGGGGCAGGGCCAGTTAGAGGTGGTATTTGCAGGTTCTCCGACCTACTCAAAATTTCCGCTACCAGTTCTCCAGAACTGATCAGAACCTGCTAAATACCACCTCTGGTGTAGGGGTTGTATAAATTTGCATAACTTGGCATTTTTGGATGCTGCTGTTATTATATTGTTATTATTGGGACGGTGACATTGTTTAATGGGTGGCATTCCTTCTTTTGAGGAGCAGTGCGTTGGAATTTTATGGTCATGTGTGCAATTGTGTATACAGGAAAATGATAGTAAAGGTTATCTTAATCTTATAATGCTATAAAAGAGATTGGAAGCCATTTCTTTGTATCCTTTTTATTTTTTTCCTATTTTTCTTTTCCTTTTACACCCTTTGTTGCCCTTTTGGTTTTCGCTTTGATTTCTTTTTCTTTTTCATATGTTAATGCATTAGTTTGTGTTTTGTCTTCCTTTTTTAAAAAGCAAATCTTTAATAAAATTACATTTCTATATATAGAAATTTAACGATGGCAAAGGACTCTTGGAAAAAGGGCAGGGGGAAAAATAGAAATTATGGCTTTTTACAAAGCTTGAGAAATGTAGCAAAAAAGACTTTCCTAGTCAGAAGAAAAATCTGGAGTTACTCAAGTATTTTGTCATGACACAAAGGCAGGGACTGCAGTAGCTGAGACAGGAAGCAATTAAACCATGAGTCAAATATTTGAATATAGGCTGACTTGTCATGAGAAAAACTCCTGGTGGGATTCCCAGTTAGTGACATGTTTGTACAGAAAACTAGACAGACCAGATCAAAGGATAAAGCAAGTAAATTTCAAAAAAGGCTTGCCTCTTTTAGGACCTCATTTTATTATTCAGGGTGTTCTTCTTCCAAGCTTCAAAGTTCCAGATATAGGTGAGGTCCATTTGGATATTAGTGTACTTTGGAATAGCTGCTTACAAAAAAACAGCCTAATGGGAATGCATAAAATATTTCTTAGAAAGACTTGTCTTTTGTATGGCTGAAGATCAAATAAGGAAGGTGTCACCCAGAACCTGTAGCTAGCCTATGGCTGGTTGTTAACAAAATAAGACAATCCCATACTTTTTATATAGTCTTAATTTTATTTAATTTACTTTGGGGCAAATAATTCAACCCAGTCTCAAGCAAGAGCTTACAAGTAAAGTGTTTTGGTTTCCTTTTGGAGGTGGGTTTTTTTTTTTTGCTGCAAACAGTTTACTTATATAAATATATATTTTCTGTTTGGATGTTTCTTCAGGTCTCTAAAGGTAGATGAAGGGGCGTATCACTTAGATGCTTGAACCTGCGGCACTGGGCAACCAATCACAGGACCAAAGGATTCTCATACCTTGAGGTGCAAACCTGGGCTAAGATGTTGAAGCCAAGCGGACTTAAAATTCCTGGGAGGACCGGGAAGCATGCCAGTCCAGTGGGACGTCCTGGTGGGACAACAGCAACTGCTTCCACAACCAGCAATGCCACAAAAGAAGGTAAGCGGCATGTAAATCGTTTTTCTCCAGAAAGATCATTGCTCAGTCTGGTTGTCAGGTCTTCCAACAATGCATCTGTTGCTTCTGAATCCATCTCTCTCTCCCCCCCCCACTCTTTTTAATTAGTTTATAATATAAAGTATAAAAGCAAATAATAGGAAAAATAGGGGAGGGAAAAGAAAATGTAAAGAAGAAGGGAAAAAGAAAGAAAAGACTTCCTTTGGTGCAGTAGAATAAAAAGTAACATCAAACCTCAACTTTCTACTTTTACATAATCGTATAAACTAGCCCTTTCTATAACAACAGTAGCATCCTTATCAGTAAAACCCAAAATCAAAGTTTCATTTTTCCCACCTCAAGCACAAAGTCCAGAAGTGGTTTCCAAGTAGACACAAAAATACCTTTGTTTTTTTTCTTTTATCAAAGCAGTCAATTTAACTATCCCTTTTAACTCCAGCAGCGTTTGCATCATTCATCCATTATGGGGCTGAATCCATACATCTCATTGCGGGTTGTCCTATTCCATTTTTCCCTCCTTCCATCTTTCCCAGCATTCTGGGTCTTCACATAATGTATCCGAAGTAGGTTAATTTGAGCCTGGTCATTTGTGTCTCAAGTGTGAACTCTGGGTTGATTTGTTTGATCAAGGAGTTGTTACCTCATTGTGATTTCTGCATGACAAAAGGGGGAGGGAGATATATCCTTGTGTAGCTAATTTGCTTTGCCAGGATCAGAGGGGAGAGCGGTGTTTGTGGCTGCATATGGCTGTGACAGCTGCCTGTACAGTTTGCAGTGTAGACAATTGCCCCCAGGGAAATGTTTGATGGACTAGCAGGGAATGATACTCTATGAGAAAGGGACTTCCTTAGTGGGATCATCTCTTTTTCTCTAACTGTATTAATTTTTTTGGTCCCTTCAAATCAGTCTTGACTACCGGCAATTGCCTGTATGAGTCCCTGCAGTTTTCTTGGCAAAATTTTGAGTATCAGTTTGTCTTTCCCTTCTTCCTAAGATTAAGAGAGAGAAACAAGCCTAAAGGTCATTCCACTGACTTTGTACCTAAGGTAGAGTTGAACTCATCTCCTGGGTTTTAGTGTGATCCCATCAGCCACTACACTAAACTGACTCTCAGCAGTCTTAATATCCCACCATTTAGCTGATTCTTGTGTTGATGAAACCAGTTGAACCACTGCGATGAAGGGCACATGAGCACTGCCTTGTCTTCTGGAATGACTCCCCCTTATTTTCCCCTCACAGAAATCTAAAAAAATGTACTGCTATGAGAAGTACTATAGTTTTGTTAAACTTTTCTTGGACTTTTAAGATGATGAGTTATCCTAATCCCCTGATAATTAGATTTATATCCCATACTGATCTCCTGGTGATTAGATTCCTATCGCAAAGTCACTCTGGAAGATTCTTTATATATTTCTGTGGTGGTTTTTTTTTTTTTAATAAAGTGCATCAGGATCTTTGGGAGGATAGTCTAACTGCCCATCTTTTCTAGTAGAGGGCTGTTCCCTTGACAATATGGTCTCCTCCTATTGTTTCTAGAAATTAGGGTCACCCTGCAAAATTGGATATTTTTAATGCAGCAATGTAAACAGGGATTTGCATGTTCTGAAGCAATATTTCACATAGGTTTTAGTTTCTGAGAGAAAGGAGAGAAAGGAAGACACACACACACACACACACACACATTCTCATTAAATGTGGATTTTAAAAAATGCCAGTATTTTTGAATTAAGGAGATCTTTCTTTCCACCTACCCAACCCCAGAAACCAATTGCCTTCCTGCAGACATTTAGTACAATGAAAACTGTTGATTCTCAGAGTGTGAACTGATTCGTGAACAATTCATTCCTTTATTGAGTATAATGTACAGTGCCTCTTTACAGTATCTAGTGTTTTTTAAAAAAATACTGTTTTTTTATTGGCTACTTTGCCTTGGTCTAAATGGGTGCCTGCCAGCTGTCGGTTCCTGTCTACTTTGTTTTGAGTCCCCGAATCATCAGCCAATGTGCTGGGTATTTTTGTAGCTCTTTTTATTCTTTCCAGCCCAACTGAATATTGGAGAGAAGTTTTGTAAAGGTTTCAGGTCTCTCTGCTTATCCATTAGCAGGATAACTGTCTAAAAACTGAACAGAATAGGAGCATGTTTTATGTAAGAGAAGATGGCAAAGAACAATTGAATATAAAAATGGGCTGCATCTGGCTGGGTGGCTGCAGGGGGAAAAAGGCCTGAAAAAAAATCTTCCCAACCCATTTGTGGGACTTCAGAGCTGAGTTAGGCCCCCTTGCCAGCTGCTTGAAAGCAAAGCATGTTTCACTAAGCAGAGAATTCTGGCATTAACCTGGATGACCTCATTAGAATCTTCTGGATGATTCCTGCAATATTTATTTGGCATCAATCTGAGTCATTGTCTGAATTGTGGATTCATGTAGATTTTGGTCTGGACATCTGTCCATGTTCATTATTGTAAAACAAATATTTTAGCAATAAGGAGATCCGTCACAGATTCAGAGACAGAGCCATATACTGTAATGAATGGCAACATAGTGCATTTAACCAGGTTAGTTGACTAAGCTTTGGTTAGATGACTGAACGTTAATGAGTTGGATTTATATAACATGTACATTCTGAGACTCTGGGAGACTTTTGGGTTATGGGGATGGCCAGACTTTGTTTCCAAGCTGTAATTTCTTTTAATTTCGTAAAAATTTTAAGTATGAATAGAAAATTATTTGCTAATATTAATTTTAATAAAGAAACAACATAAATAATGTTGAATCAAGTTTAGCTGTCAGTCCTTCCCCAGCTTGGTCTCTTAGGAAAGAAAGACTCTCAGCTCCATGTGTAGCAAAGAGTACAGGTAGTCCTCAACTTACAACAGTTAATTTAATGACTGTTCAAAGTTACAACAGCACTGAAAAAAGTGACTTACGACCATTTCTCACACAACCATTGCAGCATCCACATGGTCACATGATCAGAATTCCAGGAGTAACTGACTGTAGAAACCACAGACTGACATAAAGCACCTGAGGGCTTGTTGAATTAGTAACCATATGCCATCAACTTGGTGGTCTTAGTAACCTCATAGAGAAATGTTTTCAGGATGATTTTCCCTAACTTGTTGCTTCAGAACTCCCATTTCCACTTCAGTTGGGTCCATCAACCTTACTGCTCAACATCTTTTTCTTTCTTTCCTTCCACCCTTCTCAAGAGAGCTAGTTTTTCTCATAATATATCCAAAATATGTTATTTTGACTTTGGTTATTTGTACCTCAAGTAAGAACTCTGGATCGATTTGTTCAATAATCTATTGTTTGTTTTCTTAAGGTTGGACACCCCTGATATAGATACTGTTTGTTCTGTCCTGATAATATGTGTGTATGCGCACGCGCACACACACACACATACTACTTACTGTATGTCAGCCTTGGAAGCCATATTTTACTTGGAAGCTTTGAGGCTTCCACATTTACTACCTGGGAAATTGGGAGGGGGGGATTTCATAGAGAGGTGGAAGATCAGACTCAACAACATTCTTTCTCAGAAAGTCAAGGACCTGTTACCCTGCACCTGGAAAGGAGTGTCTGGAGGAATGTCTCCAGTTGGGACGATGTTTGATTAGGTCATGTAATGGACTGGTGGGTGCAGGGGATGTATCTTTGAATTTGGTGGGGAAGGGAAAACCTGGAACTCTCAGATTCGGATTTTCCCAGATGTGCCAGTATGACAACTCTAATAAAATGGAACTTTGAGAAAATGTTTGTTTTGGAGTTTATTGGTTTGGAGTTTGTTAGTTGGAACGCTGACACTATACGTATATTGGTGGGGGGCATTCTGCAGTTTGTAACCATGCTGGAGAGCACGCTGGTACCATGCCGGATAAAACAACACTCACTCAAAATTGACCTTTCTCCACCCACCACAAAATAAAGTACAATTCATGTTGTGCTTGGTAGTACCTGCGTTGGAAGAGTTTTGCTCCATACCCAAGCCCTCCCCATATAAACAATGCAGCTTTAAGTTGGGAGTCTGGTCCCACAGAGAGGATTTAATGGATGGGCAGGGAGATTTCAAAGCATGCATTTTATTCTTCAGGGTTACTGCGGGAGCTTTCAGTTGATAGACTATCTCCTCCTTTATCTCCACCTCTCCTTTGTATTTGCTGTTTTTCCTCTAGCTCATTAATGTACTTCTACTTAAAAACTCTCTGGTTATCCTTGTCACAAAGCTGCCTGCTGTGAGGCAGGGGCTGATAAGGTACCTGCTGGCCAGACTTTTCCTTAGCTTCTTACTACACATGCACGTGCCTGCACATGTGTATTTCCACTCGGCTTTGGGGTATTTAATTTAAAGAAAATAATCTACCAGAAAAAAAGAGAGATACTGGTTCTATTGCAAAGTAGCCCTTTAATGGACGTTTTGCAATTCCCTATGCTCTTCTTTTAACATGTAAACTCATTTAATACTAAATCATAGCATCCGTTTTATGTACTTCCCATAAATGCACATAGGTAGCATCTGCGCTTGGGGTGGAATGAGGCGGGATCTTCTTTATTTAGTACATCGATTCAAGTCACTGAATTTAGGCCATTTTCCTCTAAGATATGTACCAATAATTTAAAACTAAATCAGACTCCTTCCAGGTTGTGAGCGCTTCCAGATATTAATCACAATAGTCAATGACAGATGAACACTGTCATACACTCTGCAGCAAGATGTTATAGCTTTCTCTTGGTCAGAATATCAGCCAGTTATTCCACCTAAGCCTTAGCATATTACACACATAAACACACACACACAGAGTATTTATTGAATTTTCTCTTTCTTGTCCATTATTCTGCTTTGTACTAAACTTGATCTGTCCTCATCTGATTGCTTTACTTCTGCATTGTAACTGTTACAATACTATTCCTTTAATTTATTTCTTCTTCTTTTTCTTGGATCTTCCAGAAACGTCAAGGTTTTCCCAAGGAGGTAGATAGGCCTGTCTTATTTTTCAGTGTCCCCATTTTGGCTGCAGATATGGTGGTCCTCAATGTGCATTTGAGGGCCACTATATCTGTGAAAGTATAGGGCTCCTATACTTTCTGCTTCTAGCTAGATTCCCAGTCAACCTTCAGTCTCCCTACAAGATGTTGGGCCAGTTTCTCTTCCCTCTTTTTCTCTCCCAACTTTGCCTAATTCATAGGATTATTTTTGAAAATAAAAATATAACATGCCAGCCAGTTGTTACTTTATGCTTTCTGGAGAAATGACTTCATCACGATCATGATTACCATTGATACAGGAGATCCGATATCCAACCTCTCATCAGTTTTCCTCAGCTTAGTGTCCTCAGATGTGGTGGGATTACAACATTGAGCATTCAGAGACATCTGGAAGCCTCTACTACTTGCAAAATGAGTGCCTATAAATGAAATAGAGTTCCATCTTCAGAGGGCTCACATACCCCTTGGCTTTCCACGAGCCAGTCTGGAAGTGTTTGAGGAAAAAAAAAAAACCTTAATGTTTGTTGTGCTTCTCTCTATGTATGTTCCCCCCCCACCCTTTTACCAGATAACCATGGAAACAGGGCACCCTTCTTGCATTTCTGTTCCTCCTGACAGCTGGCTGCCTTGGCACAAGCCTGTAACTAGATTAAGTATCAAATTCTGCAACCAGTGGGAAAGAGAAAAGTGAACAAACGTCATTCAAGCTGCCCTAACCCTTCATCTTTTGAGATGGCGAAGTTTTTTCTGACCACATGCTGCCAGCTGCAGACTGAAACTTAAAAAGGGCAGCTGTGTTTTTAAATCACTTCTCTGATAACTTGATGAACTGAAACTTCATTAAAGACAGTTGGTACCGTTTGGAGCATAACACACGTTGCTCTCCAGGCATTTTGATTTTATTTAAATGGAGGGACATATCAAACTCCTTGAAGCTCCTTTGTAAAACTAGAGAAAGCTATGGTTGAAGTTGGCAACGGAAAACCGAGTTTGTTCAATGTTGAGAAGGCTTTGGGAGATGAAGAGTCTCCTAAAAACAGAGAACCATCTGTGCACATTCTGTGAATTTTCACGGAGATCAAACACGCAGATCAGTATCTGGGTGCTAAGATGCTTATTCTAAACCTCCAGATCATCTAAAGGAGCTTCTCTTAGTAGATGATAGAACTGGGTGGGTCTATTCAGATGTTGCTAAACTAATTTCCAGTAGTATCTGTTAGTATAGACTTATCTAGTCTAGCATTCTTTTTCTCAGGTGGCCAACCAGATGGTCCAAGCTGGGCTTAAATTCTCCAGTAAGTCCATTGAAGTAAAGTAATTTAACTAATTGAATTTACGATAATGCGTTTGCCACTTCAGCAAAGGGTCCTTCTTGCTCATTCTTCTGCATGGGATCCCCAACAAACTCTTCCAGCATTTGGTCATTAAATCCAGCAGGGATTAGTGCATACAAGCAAAGATCTTTTTTTTTTTTTCCATTTAACCTTTAATCCTTGGGAATAATTACTTGTTTCTCTTCTGCTGCTTGTATTTGAACATAACTGTTCAAAGTTCAGAGTTTTGTCTCTTGTGAAGACTTTGTTTGTTCTGACAGATCTCTCTTCATTCTTTCCTTCTTCTTGCAGGATCACCTCTCCACAAACAGGGTTCCACGTCTTCCACAGGTGCCTCCGAGAAGCTGCCAGGGTCAAAAATTGCTGAGGTGGGCGATGATTTCCTGGGGGACTTCGTGATGGGTGAACGTGTTTGGGTGAATGGAGTGAAGCCAGGCATAATCCAGTATTTGGGAGAGACCCAGTTTGCCCCTGGTCAGTGGGCAGGAGTTGTTCTAGATGACCCGGTTGGGAAGAATGATGGTTCTGTAGGCGGAGTGCGTTACTTTGAATGCCAGCCACTCCAGGGGATCTTCACAAGGCCTTCCAAGTTGACCCGCCAACCCACAACGGAGGGCTCAGGAAGCGATGCTCATTCTGTGGAGTCTCTGACAGCTCAGAACTTGTCCTTGCACTCCGGGACTTCCACCCCACCTCTTTCCACTCGCGTCATTCCTCTGCGGGAGAGTGTTCTCAACAACACCATGAAGACTGGAAATGAATCTGGTTCCAACCTCTCAGACAGCGGATCGGTGAAAAAAGGGGATAAAGACTTCAGACTTGGGGACCGTGTCCTTGTAAGTTCCTTTTTAGTTTTTCTTGAATGAACGATATTTTAGGAAGTTGTGGAGGCTTAACTTTTTTTGAATGGGAAAAGTTGTTTAGAATTTTTTGACTGTCATTCCCATTTTCCTTTGGAAATTCACTGTTGTCACAAGGGGAAAGAAAGGCAAAACCCTTCATCCTTGAAGACATAAAAAACATGGTTGTGTTAAAAATAGTATGAATAATGATCTAGCATGTATAGAGAAGGAGTGTACTTTGAGAGTATAAAAATTAACTGTTTTTTCCTTCCCCCAAATAATTACTTGTTAATTGATGAGATATGCTGTCTTACATTCACTAAGGATGCACTATTTGTATGCTGTTGAAAATTATTTTCTTAAAATATTTCTCTGCTGCTTCCCATTTAAAAAAGATCTCGAAATGTTTTGCAATAAAATAGTAAGATAAAACAGCATGTGATAAATACGAGTATTAAAATAGTGGGTAGAATATATAGATAACAAACAGCTGTATCTGTAAGTTAGGATATACAAATATTATTTGTATATACATTTGGGTATTTTAGGCAAGGCCTCCCTTGCTTTCTGGGTACTGTGTTATGATACATAGATTCTTCCATGAGCAAATTTCCTGTGTCTTCTGCCAGGGAGACCTTAGATTCAGTATAAGCAAGTCAGCCATGTAGTAAGACTTGCCTATATGGTAGAGTGATGGACTCAGAAACATTCCCACAGACTTGTGCGGGTGGTTTTCAGAGGTTTATGTGCAAGATTTCAGGTTCAGTCCCACGGGCTATGAAAAGGATCTTGAGAAGCGAAGTTGGAAAGGGCCCGTTATGCTAGATGAGTTGAGATGCCAGATATTTTGGCATGTTTATGGAAAATAGGCTCTTTCCAGGTGTGACTCCACCATCTCTTTCAGCATCAAGCTCATCACAGCATTTTTTTCCAGGCAGGAAAGAGAAAAATCCAGAGCAAAAATTATTGTTTGCTTTTTGGTTAGAATGCAATATTGCAGGCTAACTCTGCCTACAGCCAGGAGTTCGATCCTAACTGCCTCAAGGTTGACTCAGCCTTCCATCCTTCTGAGGTGGTAAAATGAGGACCCAGATTGTTGGGGGTAAGATGCTGATACTTGTAAACCACTCAGAAAGTGCTGTCAAGCGCTATGGAGCAGTTCATAAGCCTAAGTGCTATTGTTATTTACTTTGCTATTCTAAATTGCCCCCTAGCCCACGTTTTGATCTATGAAATTGGAAACTGGACTGCACAGTTCAGAGGCCCATGCCTGGGCAATCAAAAAGGCAGAAATGAGACTGCATGACTGCTTGTTTAAGCAGCCGCCTTCATGCTGATTAGGGCAAGGCAAATGGCTGTAGCAGCAATTGTTCTTCCTGTAGGGAGGAAAACAGTTGTTCCTTTGACAATGGAGACCTTTTTTTCATGTTATTATTTTCTTTTTTTTAGTTTGTATTATTTAATCTTTTTAATTGTATTGTTTAATCAAATTACTATTTAAAAACGGAGCAGTACTGGGCTGAGTGATCTGTAGACCTCAGAAAATTTCTATCCAGTTTCACAGACGTGGGATAGACTTTTGGCTCATTGAGTAGCAGAATAAATCAGGCAAAGACTAACTTGATTATAATAAGTGTGTTTTTATAATATATGTATTATATTATTATAGGATTGCTTTATACTGTTTGTTTGGGCAAACCAGGGTTTATTAGGCAATAAAGCAAGCTGATGGGCTACATTGATTTGTATACATTAATCCAGAATCTCGATTTCAAGTGTGGGGTTTTGTTTTTTGTTCTTGCCAAAAGAAATATATGTGTGGTGTGAGCTTCCGTATACTGTTGGTCTACATTCATTCTGCAGATGTCAGGATGAAATGAATGTAAAATAAAAATGAAGCCAGATGGAGCAGGGAGCCAGGCAATATCAAGGAAAGAATTTGTAGGCATTTTAGTCGTCTGTTGCCTTTCCTGTGATCTGTGGGCTGAGTCTACAACACCCTTCTATGATTGTTAAGCTGTCTTTGCTTACACAGGTAATCCTCTACTTACAAAAGTTCACTTAATGACTGTTCAAAGTTACAACAGGAATGGAAAAAAAAAACAATTTTTCACATGACCGTTGCACTCTCCCCATGGTCACATAATCAAAATTCAGATGCTCGGCAATTGACTCATACTTATGACAGTTGCAGTGTCCCGGGGTCATGTGATCACCTTTTCTGATCTTCTGACAAGCAAAGTCAATGGGCAAGTCAGATTCGCTTAACAACCATGTTACTAACTTAACAGCTGCAGATTCACAGAATAACTGTGGCAAGCAAGGTCGTAAAATGGGGCAAAACTCACCTAACAAATGTCTCACTTAGCAACAGAAAGTTTGGGCTCAATTGTGATCGTAAATCAAGGATTACCTGTGTATTACAGATATCCTCGACTCAGAGATTGGTATGAGATTAAGATTTATTTTCTGCCTGGACTCTTCTCTGCAAATTATAATCTGTATAGACTTGCAGATAAACTCACCCTTGGATAAGCAGATCCTTGAATTTTAAACCAAAATACCATGAAAAATGAAAATTGCAGCACCTGCTTATCCACAGATGCAAATGTGCGCAATTCTATACAGGATATACAAGTAGTCCTTGATTTACAATCACAACTGGAACCAGAATTTCTGTTACTGAGCAAGGCAGTTATTAAGTCTCACCCAGTTTTATGATCTTTTTTGCTACAGTTCCTAAGTGAATCACTGTAGTCACTAAGTGAATCATGCAGTCATTAAGCAAATCCAGCTTCCTCCATTGACTTCGCTTGTTGGAAGCCAGCTGGGAAGTTGTAAAGGGCCATCAGGATGCTGTAACCATTGTAATTACATGCCAGTTGCCAAGCATTTTGATCATGTGACCATAAGGATGCTACAATGGTAGTGTGAGGACAAGTCGAAACACACAGAGGCAGGGGTGGGATTCAAATTTCTTAACAACCTGAGGGTGTGGCCTAATTTGTGGGTGTGGCTTGGTGGTCATGTGACTGGCTGGACATGGCTTGTATGTAAATATTATAAATATTTATGTAAATATTGAATTTTTTATAAAAAAGAGCAACTTCTACCCAAAATCAGGCAATGCAGGCAGACAGGCAGGCAGACGGCTACCTGAGTCTGTCACATAAAATTTGCTTGCAGTGAGTCTTCACTGAATAATAGATGCTTCAGTCCTAAGGAAGGTTTGGCTCTGCTTAAAAGCAGAGCCAAAGATCTAAAGACTAGCTAGAAAGCAAGAAATGAAACAATTTCCTGCTTTCTAGCTAATCTAAATCTCCTGGCACAGCAGAACAGCTGATGGTTGAGGAACAAAAAGGAAAAATAGCAACTTAGCAGGCAAGCTTGCCAGGTAAGGATTGAGTGGGTGGGGAGGGTTCCCGCGGGCCATGTGGGCGGCGCAGGCTTGTGTTCCTGCGCAGCCTGGATTATTTGCTTTGTGGGATGCTCTGGGGGTGACATTTCTCTGTGGACCACCAAAATTTTCTCGTGGCCCACTGCTTGGCGACCACTGCTCTATAGCGTCATTTTGAAGGTAGGAGTTGAAACAGTTTATGTCTGGGATGTGAGGGGTCTGTAGATACTTTCACAGCCCTCTTTTTGACTCATGCAGTATACAGTTCCTTGATGGAAGGCAAGTTGGTTGTAATTGTTTTTTCTGCAGTCCCAATTACTCTCTGAAGTCTGTGTCTGTCTTGTTGGGTTGCGGAACCAAACCAGACAGTTATAGAGACAGATGACAGACTCAATCATTCCTCTGTAGAACAGTTTTGGAGGTATATTTTGGCACTTTAGAGTACAGGTATTATTGAGTACAGGTATTATTGACTTACGACCACAACTGAGCCCCTAATTTATGTTGCTGAGCGAGACAGTTAAGTGAGACGGGGTGGGATGCTACCGGTTCTGCCCGGCTCTATAGAACCGGTAGCTCTGAAGAGCAGCAGACACCGAACCGATTCGGTGTCTGCTTGTTTGGCCCACCCGCCTGCCCGGGCTCTAACCTGTCCTTTATTTCCTGCCTTTTTCAATCTCAGCTGCTTTGTGCGGCACAGCTGAGGTTGAAAAAGCAGTAAAAAAGTGGCTTTTCAAATGCTGAGCACCTACACGCAGCGCTTATCAGTTGTCCGGGCAGCACAGCTTAAGGTTTATTACACGCACGTGCAACGTAATCACCGAGCCGGTAGTAACACCGGTTGAATCCCACCCCTGCTTTTGCCCCATTTTATGACTTTTCTTGCCACAGTTGTTAAGTGAATCCCTGCAGTTGTTAAGCTAGTAACACAATTGTTAAGTGCATTTGGCTTCCCCGTTGACTTTGCTTGTCAGAAGTTTGCAAAAAGTGGTCACATGACCCTGGAATACTGCAAGTGTCTGAACTTTGATCACCTGACCATGGCGATGCTTGCAATGGTCGTAAATGTGAAATACGGTCAGAAGGCACTTTCTTCATTGCCTTTGTAACTTTGAACGGTCACTAAATGAACTGTTGTAAGTCGGGGACTACCTGTTTCTCTCCCGTGTCAGAGGACATTTCTTGACATGAAGGCATTTGATGAATGTAGGCTACAAATTTAGCTCTTAAGACTATCTGAAAGAAGGATAGCAAAGATCCGAATCAGTCATTTCACGATCTGCTCCTGGTTTCCCTGGTTCGTTCGTTCTTTCTCCCTCTTTCTTGTTTCGGAACAGGCCACTTTTGGGAAGAGACTGGGCTGCGATCTGTCAGAAATGGTGTAGGATCTGCTTGGGTGTGGAGTTAGACTAGATGACCTATAAGGTCCCTTCCAACTCTGTTAATCTTCAAAATAAAATTGGTAAATGTTCCTATTATGGATTATTATGGATTATTTACCCCTTTGGTTTTGGTTTTCTGTTCTCCACTTTCAAATCCTTTACGATCCTAGCTGTATTTTTCATTTCTAATTAGGGAGTGTTAGGAGAGTTTATTT